TCGAATATTTATTGGGGGAGGGGGGGCCCCCCCCCCCGTTTAATATTAGGGGGTCAGGATTACCTAACCATGACGTGCTTGGCAGACTTAGGGTAAAGTCCCAAGCAAAGATCCTATAAACTCAGAAGGCCCAAGACTTGAGGCCTTGCGAACGGGAAGGGCCCCACAACTTCGAAACCCTTCTCAAAGGATCTGAGTACCAACCTAGCACGTCACTGTCCTCGAAAGCATACTATTCTTCTGGTTACGCAGACCCTTTGCGTTCTTTACGACGCCTTCAAGCTTAAGACTTCAACCCTAAACCCAAAAAGGCAACGTGGACAAGATGCTCTATACGAGCAAGGGGGACAGCAGACTCGAGCTGACCCGGGAGGGCATCTGCCAGGCCAAGGAAGCAGGCGGGGGTGTCAGGCTTAGGGGGTTTATTGGGGGTTTGGGGGAGTTTATAGGCTTTAGGGGGTTAAGGGTTTACGGGGCTTAGGGGGTTTATTGGGTTTGGGGGGAGTTCATAGGCTGAAAGGGGGTTAAGAGTTTACGGGGTTTAGGGCGTTTAGAGTTCTGTGTTTGTAGGGTTTAACTAGTTGATACCATAGGAAAAAGGATAGATTACCAAGCATAAGACCTGAACTATACAGCACAGCAACACCTTGTGCTTATCCCTGGAAGTGCACCAAGCGTGGGTCTTTGGTTGTGGCCTTCAGGATTTATGAGCCTCGCAGGTGAAGGGCTCAGGGCATTTCGTGAGGACTTGAGCATGTAGGGTTGTCTTCCTGGTGGGTTTCTACTTTTTGATTCTCTTCACTGGCATTGGATGGGAAGGACCCGCCCGCGAGTGTATGAATGTCGACCCAAGCCACAGGCTCCCGACTGAAGCAGACAGCGCTGAAGAGCCGCAACATCATCGTTTGCAGCTTGCTTTGCACAGATGTGTGGCATCCCGTGTGCTCTCATTCCGTTTTCTCAGTTAAAACCTGCCAGTAGCTCCCGTGCTGCAGAATCCCAGACGTCTATGAAGCTTACATCACGAACTTGCGGAAGCACATAGCCTTGTGGCCCGTTGGCATTGTGTTTGACTGCTGGAGCTTCTGAGGTCGTACGATGTATGGTGTATGCGAGCATCAACGCCTACAGAGATCTGAAAAGCCCTACACTGGCTTATTGAAGTTTCAGCCTTGCGCCGTAAGCCTACCTGCCGCACCAAACCTTCAAAGCAGTAGTTTGTGAAACCTCACGCAAACGACGGGCATAGCAATGCTTGGAGCCAGAAACCTAAAGCATTCATCATACATTTGAGGCACTTCGCCCTTCGAACGGGCCATGCAGACGCTGCTGGGGCTTTATGAAGGTGGCTTCCCAAGGGACCGGGTGCGTATCCACATCGACCCACAGATCCGGGAGCAGGAGCTGACCGATTCGGGTTTAGGGTTTAGGGGTTTAGGGGTTGAGGGGTTTAGGGGTTTAGGGTTTAGGGTTTAGGGCCTAGGGTTTAGGGGTTTAGGTGTTTAGGGTTTAGGGGTTTAGGGTTGCTTGCTCCAACTCCGGGCGAAGTGGAAAGCCTGTTGCAAAAAGGGGTTTAGGGTTTAGGGTTTAGGGTTTATAGGGTTTAGGTTGAGAGCCAAGTATGGAAGATTTTCGGAACCCTGAAGTTCTTGATCGCAGATGCCGACGCTGCAAAAAATCAAAACCCCCACACCCCAGATGATAAGTTCTAGCTGTAACCTATAGTAACTACCATGCTACTGATACGATGGTTACCATGATTGAAATGTCAGTCCCTGCGCAACCAACTGCATCACCAGGCTTGAATACAGCACAACCACCACACCCTAAGCCTGAGCCGTGTACCCGAAGCGCTACACTATCCTAAACCAGGAGTTTGGCAACTTCCAACCACCGGGACTTACCGGCATGGTACGTGCCGAGGCCGTGTCGAAGACAAGCCTGAGCCGATTTCAGTTTTGTAGGTTTGTGCAGGGCTTCGTGAAGGGTGTTCCTTAGGCTTTATACGGCGTGGGGAAGGGCACGGTAGTCTTCTCAATTGTTTTCACAGGTTGTCCAAACAGAGACGAACAGAGAGTGCCTTTCTTGGGGGCAAGAGTTTGTTTTGGGGTTTGCCGGCATGCGAATGGAAGAAAGTGTGCGGCATGTGCTCCGACAGATGTGTGGGATACCATTGTCTTCAACGGTGCGGGGTCATACATAGCGGGCTGTTTCGAGGATATGCAGGCGGCTTATATGCAGGATTGCACGGGAATTTCCCGAAATACCTCAACCACCCACAACGCACATGTAGCCAATGATTTGAGATCTTTCTCGCGCTTTTGTGATCTAGGAAGTTTCGCTCACGGTGGGGCGAAAAGAAATCGAACCGCAGGAGGACCTCGTCGGAAGGACCTACTATCGGCGCCCCAATGCGGAAAGCTCGGCCGATGTCTTTGACAGAGTCAAGCAGCCACTTGGCTTCTGGCGTTTAAGCCCTTCTGCTTGCGGCTTCGGCTTTTTGTGCTTAGGGCTAGCTGCTAGCTTTCGCCAATCTGAAAAAAGTGGTTCCTCTTCAGGACTTCTATACGGATTATCGTTTCCAAAAAGCTGGAGATATTTCGCATGGGTCTTCTTGCGCCAATTCCCGTTGTATTGAAGTGCCCTAATGGCCCTAATGCGCTATTCCTCTCTTCCAGGCTCGGTTCTCTGCGTTTCACGTAAGGTCTTAGATCCCTAGGCCCGCAGTCTTCAGAGGTTCTGGGACAAGCTCTTCGGGGAGAATGGCAATGGCCTTCTAGCCGGCGACAGCCGTACATACGAAGCTTGGCAGCTCATGCCCGGAGCAAAAGCTACATCGGAGACGGGCTGTTTCTTTGGTTTTGGGCTTGGTTTAGAGTGTAGAGTGTACGTGTGGGGTTTTGGGGTTCAAGGCTTCAGTTCCTTTGATGGCCTTCGGCTTGCTTAAGGCGAGGAGTTGTGGGACTTCTGTTCGATGTCGACTTGTACCGCAAAAAGATTTCAGCAGTGATGTTCTGCATGTGAGGTGACACGTTCCGGCTTGGTGTTTCAGTGTTTTCGAGGAAAGACACCCTTTATCTATAGACTGTAGAGCCCAAGACCTGAACCCAAACCTACACTACCATTCTATAGGGACTCTCAGGGCATAGTATGATTGCAAGTCATGTGGATCCCTGCTTTAAATGCGTAAAGCCACATTGCACATGCACCCCGAAACCGTTGCCCGCAAGAGCAAAACCCCAGGCCCCTCCACCCCCAAGGCCTGCAACGCTGAAGCTGGAAGACCGCGACCCCGAACCCCGTATGGGTAGTTCTCTCAATTAGGTTCCCGTTTACGGTCCTTTTTTTGATAAGGATGCCGTATTATATCGGGGACCTAGAAAGGGACCCTAATTTAGAGGGCTATCCATGTGCGATGAAACCCTGTGCCAAGGACATGTGCCTGGTGGTAACGCACGGGCTTACAATCCGACTGATGCTTATGTGCCTCTTCAACTGGTCCGTCGCAACCTTCGAATCTGTTTGGAGCCTCGATCAGGGCTTTAAGTTCGTTCAGTGAAAGATCGCTACCCAAAATCCTAAACCCTAGACCCTAAACCGCTCGTTGTTCCGACTGGAGTGGTGTGTTTGCATGACCCAGATTCTTTTCTCGGACGGCCAGGAAGCCCCAGTACATCTAAGTTTATGTTAACTTTTCAGAAAGGGCCAACTTTGTCAAGTGTAGCTGCGTTGTCGCTTCCGTTATTGATGCCTGCTGGTTGCCTATAAGCGTCGGCCAGGAATCTCAGCTACTGTGAGCATGTGACGCTGAAGAAGAGTCTGAACCGCACTTCTCGAGAGAGCTCAGGGCTTCTAGGCCCGATTCTAGGCCTGGGACTGAAGGTCTTGGGCGCGTTCGCGCTCATCAGGGCTTTGGGGTTATTGGGGTTGGGGTTGGTGCTGAATTAGGGTTGTTCAGGTGGCGCTGATTAACTCGTGCCACCTACAACAGGGTCTTTACACTTCACGAGGCATCCCCAGAAAGTCTTCCGGAGAGTAAGGCATGCCTCCAGTGTTGTACGTTTCCTGACGGTTTGCGTCCCCAACTCAGCAACCTTCGATACCACGTGGGTGCTTTCCAAACCGCTCGAGTGCTGTGGAAGTCTTTCCTGCGGACGAAAGACAGAGAAACCCTTGAATTATCGATTATTTCCGGCAGCTACATCAGTCAGGCTAGTAAAAGCACAGACACACGGAGAGACACGGAGAGTCACACACGCAATGACAGAGACGTCCAAGCGATGACAGACAGGCCTACTGCCTGATTTCAGCGCCGCCTGCAGCTAAGGAACAGCGAGCAGTGCAGGTACGAGTTCTGCACGGAGGAGTCTTTCCCGGCCCGCCTGCCCTGGGCCACGCGGAAGGTGTGGGTGGTTCTGCAGCTTGGACGGGGTTCCAAGTTACCTTGTAAAGCCCTAAAAGCCGAATTCTCAGAGCAAACCCTTATTATAAGTGTTGCATGCCAAAAGCCCAGCAGCCAGAAGCCTTATGAACCCTAAACCCTCTGCCAGCTTTTCAGCGAGTGTGTGAGTCGAAACCCTCTGTTTTGCTAGCCGACTTGCGGCCATGGATCCTCCTAGTTGCGAGAGCACAAACCCTAGATAATCCTATAAGAAAGCCCTGAAAAAAAATTTGGGACCGAGGCCGCCGAGTCTATCTAAATCTGAGCGTTGGGGGTTTATGGGCTTTTCGGCTTCTGGGTTCTAGGGTTTTCGGTCTTGGGGGTTTTGGGGCAAAAGGGTGCTGGGAGTTCGACTTTGCTTTCGAGTAGAGAATCTTCATTGAAAAAAGTTAGCAGTTTTAGTCCTTCTTAGTCCCTGCTATAGTTATCTATAATTATAGCAGAATAGACCACTTTCTGCTGTAGGGCGGGCTCGCGCCTGTATGGGGCCGAACTGTGTAAACACTTTACTTGACTAGCCTGTCACGAACCCAAAACTTCGTAGCCCTGACCAATAGTATCCCCTAGGCTTCCCCATTATAACTATATAATATGTACCCCACCACCCTATTCCTGTTTTACTTGTTAGAAACCTTGAAAAACCCTACAAACTAATCCTAAGCAACCGAGGAAGAACACGCCCGCACCCAAGCGAATGATCTGGAAGTTGGAGAAGACCCTCGGACTAACCCTGAGCGTTGTAGGGTTTAGGGTTTAGGGTTCAGGGTTTAGAGCTTCCAGGGTTTAGGGGTTTGGGGTTCAGGGTTTAGGGCTTCCAGGGTTTGGGCTCATCTTCTGAAGCCTTCTACCCTTTGCAGGCCAACGGCGGGGTGAACTTCGGAGGGCTTCGGTTTCAGGCTTTGGTGTTCTTTCAGGCTTTGGTGTTTTTTTGAGTTTCGAGCCCTGCATAAGAACAGCCTTTGAAGCTTCATGGGAGCTTTTTGAAGCCCCTAAACCCTCCCCGAGGCCGCCGCCAAAAACCTCACCCCCAAACTCCCCAACATCCCAAACCCTAAACCCTTAGTATCATATAGAAGTCCAAATACTTATAAATATTATTCCTTGGGGTTCCTTATTATTCTTGTAGCACCACTAAAAAGGAGCCCAGAACCCTATTCCAATTAATTATTAATGCCCTTACATTACCCTACACCCTAAACCCTAAACCCCCAAGATTTTAGAAGCCCAAATCATTACCCATGTGATTCCGTAGGATTCCTTACAAGAACCTTACATTACCCCGAACCCCGGGACCCCTAAAACCGAACCCAGGATCCGAGAAGCTCGTGAGATTCTCGACGATGCTCTGGACGCCGGGGCATCCTGGCAGCGCGGGTCTGGGAGATTCGGTGTATAGCCAGAGAACCCAAGGCCCTTAACATGGAGGTTTAGGGTTTTAGGGTTTAGGGTTTTAGGGTTTAGGTTTTAGGGTTTAGGGTTTTAGGGTTTAGGGTTTTAGGGTTTAGGGTTTAGGGTTAGAGAACCCAATACCCCTTAATTAAGGAATTATGCCTTAAAATTACAGGGGCCTAAAATTTTGATTTAGGGTATATTCCTTAATTAAGGGGTATTGGGTTCTCTTTGTAGCTGGGGCCAATGGGGGTGTAGAGCTCGGGTTTTGGGGCATAGCTTGAATACTGCCCCCACTCAGTGACAGTTTAAGCAAGATTCATCATGTGGATATATAAGGCCCTTAATAGTAGCCCTATATGATAGACTGTTACTGCATTATGGGCAGTACCCAAGGCACAGCCTTTAGGGTGTCTACAGGGATTGCAAAGTTTCGGCGTTTTAGGCTTGGGGGCTTAAGAGTCGTTGCTATGCCTTGCCTTGGTGCTTAAAACTGCCACCAGTCGACTCGCTAGGAGACTACAGCAGGACATGTGATAGAACCCTAAACCCTAAACCCTAAACCCCTAAACCCTAAACCCTAAACCCTAAACCCAGTGGTTGATAACTAGCGGTTCTAGCTTCCTGGTTTCCAGTTGCATAGGCGGTTTCTGGCTGAGCTTGGTCTGGGGTTTTGAAATCCAAAAGCAGACGCCTAAAGCCAAGGACCTCAAACCTAAAGCTCAAGCCCTGAAACCTTAAGCCTGAAACCCTAGATGGGTAGTTCTCTAAATTAGGGTCCCTCTTTAGGGTCGCTTTTTTGTAAGAGAGTGCCGTACTGTATGGGGGACCTAAACAGGGACCCTACTTCAGAGAACTACCC